TGCTACAAACTTTTGTCCCCCCCACTGTAGTTAAGCGACAGCCTCGGAAGACGAAAACACCATTGCCGTAACCCGGCTGCTGCCTTATCAGCTCTATCAACTTGTGAAATTGTTCGATGTTGTTGGTTTGTATTCCGAACTTGTTAGAAACCAGCATCCACCTTCCTTTTCCACTATCAGGTCTGTTCCTTTATGTCATAATTAGCGCACGCACAACTCACCTTGTGTGTGGGCAAACAAGGCTCTTTTTTCTCTCTCATCCATCACACGAGCCATTTGAGCAAACTATTAGCTTGAAGAGTTACGAAACGTGGCATTCACGCCGGACTAAACAACCAACATCCATCTAGTCTACTCGCCTCCTACCTATCGTCATCCATTGACCAGCCAGCGTCCCGAATGCAGGCGAAGTAAGTAAACCTTTCACTCTTCTACCTCCAAAACAAAATGAAAAGGGAAAACCTTTCCTTTTTAATCCTGGACTGCAGAAGCTGACTATCACAAGACGCTTTATCATCCACTTTATTCATCTTTTGGCACATACATCAACATCCATCGCTTTTGAGACACCGTCAGCGGTAGCCACCATGCAAATACCACGGGGTGTCACCTTATGCTTCGTCGACTTGCCCAACTGGGAGTGGGATAAGGACGCCGTACGAAACGCGCAGGACCGTGGCGCAGTGCAGCGGTATTTTGAGGCCCTCGATCGAGGCTTTCTCGGCCTGGCAATCCGAGAGCGCTATTCATTCCATAGCCCGATTGGCCCAGACGGCATCGTTGACGACACCGGAATGCAGCTCTACGAACTTATACTCAGCTACCTACAAGAGTATATGGATGAAGATGACGACCGCCTTGAGGCCACTAAAGCGGTCTTGACTGAAGGGCTCGCAAACACTGATGATCCTGACATAGAACTCGTGCGCCAGATGGTCAGTATGATGGAGGCGGACCCTCCCGCCGCTCGGCGTAAGAGAGCACTTAGGGCTGATGTGCTTGGCTTTCTGGAGGAGCATGACTTAGACCTTAGCAAGGTTGACCGCGTGCTTGATATTCTGCTTGAAGAGTGAGGATAGTGTTGAACTTGACTTGGAGTGCCTTAAGTTGTTTAAGGGACCGGGTATAACAATGAAGGACTGAGCAGCATTACCTGTACCGCTATGTGTCCGCCTGCCTTTTCTTTTCATGAATTTAAATTATTTACTCGTTATGTTTTGTGTAATTTGTTCTGAGAAGAATTATGATAAGATGGTAGGGTAAAATCATTTATTTACGAGACAGAGTGTCCTCAACTACAGATACGTCATCCTTCATTTAGCTCACGAGAAGGCATTCATTCATTTCTAGAGGGCGAGTCAGTTACCGTTCCGCATGCGCGCCTCCAGCGGTGGTAGGTTGGTAAACAAGTGCCTTGCCTTCTTCCAGAAGTTTACCGGCCGAGGCCAATACGAACAAATGCACGCAAGTGGGAAGCCCCCGGGCTGTGCCGCATAGCACCCTTGGAAGACGATGCAGAAAACATTTTAGATGAAATTGCATTGCTATCAGATGATAACAAACCGGGCGTAAAAGACGGCAACTCAGACCACGACGCATGCAGCTTGGGGCTGTCACCGCCGTCCCGTACAACATCCTGGGAGCATGGTCTGTCTCATAGTGGAATCAGACGATGGAAATTCGTCCTTCGCCTTCGGAGCCCGAGACCCGTTTCAGTGGCTGGAAACTTCGGGCGTGGGAGCCGAAGCCGACCAACGACTCTTTGTTTAGTTATAAGTACGTAAGGACCTTGAGCCCGTCAACTAACCAGAAATCAACCTTCTTCCTACTCCTACCTCCAATCATCAGAGCTCCATAGGAAGAGACACGCCCCAATCATATTCTTCTCTCAATACCGACAACATGCGACCCGTCTTACTTCTTCAATGTGCCGTCGTTGCGATGGTGTCTGCCGAAGATCTCCTCTTTATCGATATCCCCAAAAACGCGTGGAACAACACCCTCATCCAAATCTCCTTAATTCACAACTCCTCTGCTGTGCACAACTACATGGACATGCTCGCCAAGGGGTGGTTAGGACAGGCCATTAGGGAGCGCTACGCGTTCGATGGCCAGGTGGAGAAGAACGCATCCGGCATAGAGGTCGTCGGATACAACAACTTGCCCATCGACGAGTTGGTCATCGAGCACCTGCAGGGATATCTCGAAGAGGACGACGACCGCCTGGCCGCCACCAACAAGACCCTGCGAGCCGCCCTCTCCGAAACCGAAGACCCCGGGCACAATCTCTTGCAGGCGATGGTGGACTTGATGGACACGTACCAGCCTGACACGGATGTGCAAAAGCGCGCGAAATACACGCCAAGGTGCAAGACCAAGGCTCGTGCAAAGCGCTCAGATTGCCAGGAGGCTTTCGCTCTGGCCTCGAGGGGTACTGGTTACCTCGACAGCGACTTCTCCGGATACGAAGGCACATGCTACATTCGGGCACCTGGAACCAAGACCATGACGGTCAAGAAGTTCATATCCATTGCGGGATTAATTATTTCGGATTGCGCTTATGTCCCGTCGGGTTCTACGACGGTATACGTCCAAGGTCATGTCCGGAAGTCGTCATCACGTCGGAAGGTGTGTGTCCAGGTTGAGTCGACGAATTGCTAGATTCTAGGAGGGATTCGAGACTTGGGTCTCGATCAAGTATACTAGGGGGGTCTCGTCATTTTATTTCAGCTCAACCCCCCTTGAGGGACGGACGGGGTGTATGTTGACTAGCCAAATCGTCAGCGACTCACCGAGCTAAGAAAGATATCTAGAAAATAGGTGTGCGCCCTAGTAAATTTAGTACTATTGTTTAATCGAATAACATATATAATAAGCGAGTGGGACAAACAAGCGAGCTGTGACGGTCGGGTCTATCCTAGGGGTATAGGGTAGGTCCGGGCGTAGGGTGTATGATCGAGTGGATCAGGACATCGTAGTGAGTATTGTAGGTTACAGTCTGATAATGGTAGAATGGTAGATTCAATGTAATTAAGTGTGGTTGATAGCTGGTAAGGCTATCTCTATAAAAGTGCTAAGTGGATGTATATATATACTGAATGGAAGCGATAGTTCCTAGGAGCGCATCGCTTTAGAAGCGCTTCACTTTAGCAGTCTAGCTTTTCCTTCAATCAGATCAATAGCTAGATAAAGTCAAAGACCCCGAGGCATCCGGAGCCTCTCGGCCGTCCGAGGTCATCGTCAGCTTCTTCGTCTATAAGACTGACCCAAAGACCCTCGTTAGATAGGAAGAATAGCAAGAGCTTCTCATACACATGATCACTTCCATCCGCTAGATGCAACAGTATTGCTGTCAGGGTGATGCATAAGATGTCAGAAGGTAGGTATTGGTGTGTATGCAAGCGTTCACTTGCTGAGCACTTTGCGAGCCCTCGGCGCATGGCTAATCTAGGAGCTATCATGTGACGCCCTTATCTGCAATAAGGGTCTCCCTCAACTCCTAGAGGTCGGAACTCTTACAGTATACTAAAGAGAAATCATAGACTTTAAATATTTTTAAGCCTGTATTAGCAAGCAAGCTAGTAGGCTACGTATCGCCGCTTTATGAGCCAGGGGCAGGCCGATATAACCTGGAATTATAAGTAGCCCTGTCCTAAGCGCATTCTGTAGCATCCTAAGTATCTCTGAGCTGTCCCTGAGCTGTCCTGAGCTGTCCCAGAGCCATCCTGAAGCCGTCTCTGAGCTATCCCTGAGCTCTCTTAATTAGGAATTAGATGCTAACCGAATCGAGAAATTTTTCACTGCAAGTTTGGGAACGTATAACAGATGATACGAAATGGTGAGAGCCAACCTTGTATCTCTCCAAAAGTTCCGGGGGGTTATATGAACCCGGATACTCATGCGTGTGGACAGCGAACAGACCCATGCGTCCTTCATCTGAAAGCCCAGTATTGGTAATGCCGTTACAATGAGACACTATTTCCTTCCTCAACTCTTCAAATCCTGTCGGGATCTCAGTAGAGAGATCATCGCCCAACCTCAGTTCGCGATGGGCATAGATCGTGATCCAAGAATATGCAACGTAAGCAACAGTAGATGCATTATGCCCTTCTCTCGAAGGGATCAAAACACGAAACCCGTGCTTGTTGGAAGTGCCACCCGCGGCGGTGATCTTAGAGTATAGGAGCGCGGAAATGGGACCATCGTCTGGATGTTTTTGTAACATTGGTGGTGTGCCATACGTCTCATCTACCCCATTAGCCTGAAGAAAGGCATCAAGACAGGCGACAGATATCTTGAATCCACGAAGTATGGTAGTTGAGCCTAACATGACTGCCTCGTATTAGATCTTGGCTTGGTAAATACCCAGTTGTCTGTGTTGCAGTGGCTGGTGACGGTGAATCGAAGACGAGGCGTTACCAGACCACGAAGGAAAAGAGTCAGTTTAATACGTTGAGGGACATTTCCTCACAATCGACTAATGGCAAGAATTAAGACATGTGTCCCTCGACCAATAGGATTGTGGATGAAGATGGCGCTCGGCGTATGTGCAGGGATGCTGTAGGCAGCAAGGTCTCCAATGGTAAGATGACTACGAACATTGCTTACCACTGACACGATTAGGCAGTCAAGCAAACATAGTGGTCGCAAAAGGTACGCAAACGAAGGAAAGTTACGAGTCTCTATTTACATCGTGAATAGGATTCTCTCAATACTCTTGCTGCCCCTACTCTGTGTGAGTCCGTCCGTAATGAGTGGGTGTGCAGCGATAAACATCATAGGGCCTAAACTAGAAGCCCAATTCTTATCGAAAAGGTCGGGTCCAAAAGAAGCTTAAAAACACCCGAAGACCTCTAGTCAATGATGAAGAGCAACAGGAAACCAAAAGAGTCCAATTGATACCATCCACTACAGATTAACGAGAGATTGGATTTTGAAGCAAAATTTACGTATATGATCATCAAAATAGTGTGGAATATGTAAGCATCAAATCAGCTGTGGGTCCTATAGTCTAGTGGTCAGGACGTTGGATTTTGATTTAATCTGCCTTCCAAAGTCGCCAGTTCGAACCTGGCTAGGACCTCTCTTTTTTCCCAATGCAGCAAGAAACCTTTTTGCCACCAGGAAAGCCGGTTGCGACAGGTGTTATTGTCTGGAAATTGAAGGGCGTCTGCAAGACTAAAAGTCTTGTTCAAGGTCCTTTAACTTTGATATCTTGCAATTTCTAAATAAGGAATACTGTAGGATCCTTTCCTCTAGATGTCGATTCTTTTGCACTAGGTCGATAGCTTGAAGTTGTTTTAGCCAACTGAAACTTGCCCTATGAATTCCGAGAGACACATCGGTAATTCTGAGATTCATAGCTTTCCAGTATCACTGATCCATCGTCATTGAGATGACAGCTTTGCAATTGGTCATCGTACGTTGTATCCATCAGCTTCGGAATTTGGTTTTCTACAACATCCTACTAGCAGTCCACAGTTGAGGAACAAATCAAGGGTCCCAGGCTCAGGCTACCTCAGACCAGCTCACCACCAGCTCAGAAATCTCAGCACAGCGCAGGTAGAGACCGTGAATGCTGAGTTCCAAGGAGGAAAGGGGAAATTCTCAGCGTCAGTTTTGGGATTCTGCATGGGCTGTCAAGCCTGTCATCAGGCATCGCCCAAGTCAGCCGAGCTTGGATGCTGAGAAGTCACGTGTTACAAATCACATGGGCTGTGATTGGCCAATTCAGGTAGGCGAACCGGGTCCGCCATTCAACTTCCTCCCAAATCAGCCCATCTTCACAAATCCCTCGACAACACTCCAAGCAACCTCCAAACCTCCATCGCCGGCGCAATCGACACAATGTTCATGCAACGCACCGCCATCGCCGCGGCCCGCCGCGCCGCCGTCCGACCCGCCGTCGCCCGCTCCTTCACCACCTCCTTCGTCCGCCGTACGCATTTTGCTCCCGCCCGCCCAATGGCAATCCTCGTATGATGGTGATAGGAACGACGGCTGACCTGATTGTGCTCCAGGCGATGCTCCCAAGGCCCCCGCGGCCGCTGCCGAGACCAAGGTCGGCTCCTACAAGACTCTGAAGGGTACGTCGCCACGATCCTGAGCTCCGATTGCCATCGACTGGCAACCCCCAAATAACCTCGGTCGAGTCATCGTGAAGACTATATCTGCTGACAAAAAGTCACCAACAGAGGTCAAGACCGACGCCGACCTTTTCGGTCCCGGTGCCAAGCCTGGAACCGTTCCCACCGACCTCGAGCAGTCCACCGGTCTGGAGCGTCTCGAGATTCTCGGTAAGATGGAGGGCGTCGATATCTTCGACATGCGCCCTCTCGACGCCAGCCGCCTCGGCACGATGGAGAGCCCCATCTTGGTCCGATCCGCCGGTGACGAGCAGTTCGCTGGTTGCACTGGTTTCCCCGCCGACTCCCACGCCGTTCAATGGCTCGGCGTAAGTGCTTCCTTGAGGTCCGGACAGACGGAACTAGTTTGCTAACCGCACATTTGACCGTAGCTTTCCAAGGAACGCCCCATTGAGCGATGCCCCGAGTGTGGCAGTGTCTACAAGATGGACTACGTCGGCCCCGAGGATGACCACCACCACCACCACCCCCCCGAGTTCGAGGAGCCCAAGACCTTCGCCGACTACATCAAGCCCGAGTACCGATACCGATAAATGCACACACCGGCAGCATGGACCGGATTGTTGTATTGGAACTATGGGTGAATACGGGATGGTGTCCCAGGGAGAGCAGTGGTTTTGTAGAATAGGGTGCATTTTCCCTGTGTCAATTTACTTGCTTGCAGAAGACGATTTTGACCAACATTTGTGCCATTCTCGGTGTTCCTCGTATCGCTTTGGAAAGGTGAAAGATTGCGGGTATCACGGGTGTCTGAGATCCTTGGAAATTGTAGTTGATACGCTTGCATGACAGTGATGCAATCCCACGTGGAATTGGATATCCAAACCAATTCATGCGGCTCCGTCCGGATCTACTCACTCCTGGTTTGCCTTCCAGACTGTAGGTGCTACCAACTCAGATCAGAGCCAAGGTTGTCACTAATACAAACAGTCTGCTGACATGTAGCAACAACGGGATTTCACGGGCTGAGATCGAGCCGCTCCTTCGGCGTCGGCTGATGCAGGCCCGGAAGGGGACTTGGGTGATTGGGAAGTGGCGTGAGCCCCTCGGGTTTGCAGGCACCGAATCGGGCGACACTTCCCATGTGGTTATGGCAACGGCTCAAGGACTGGCTAGACATGTCTAGACTGGCCGCGAAGAGCGATAGCTGTGCCCCTCGATCCTTTGAGTTCAACCCTCTGAGTTCAACCCTCATCCTCGTCAAAGCTCAACTTGATCTTCTTGGGCTTCTTCTTGGGTTTGCGGTCCTTGGATCCCTCTTTGGCCTCGCTTTCTTTTCCTCCCTTGACTGCAGCATCCTTGTCCGCAGACTGGTCTTCAGAGTCGCCGCCAATGACCTTTCCAACCTTGCGTTTCCGTCCGCCGATAGAGACCTTGCCGCTATCCGCTTCCTTGGCCATCTCGTTTGCTGACTCATCCAGGCTGTGAGGCTGCAGGTCTTTGACGACAACGCCGTCCTTGTCCACCTCCAGATGGCTCACAACGTTGCCGTCCTCGTCGACGACCAGCGGCACGTCTTCGGCATCCTCGCTGCTAGACCGCTTCTTGGCCGACCTCCGCTGGGCGCCGAGCAGAGGGTCCGGGCCCGGAGCGCCGGAGGCTTGGGCACGGAGGGCGGCGAGGAAAGGCGGAGTAGAGGTGTCGTAGGACAGGTTCTTGGACGTGATTTTGGGTGGCATTTTTCCTCTCTCTCTCACTCTCGGAGGCGTGGATTTTTCGGTCAAATTAGCTGACGCGTCCGGGGGGGTAATCAAGATTGGCCGCCGGTCTGCACGTCCCGTTGTCCACTTGGGCAGTTTATCTTTCGGTGAGACGCTCGGCAGGCGATGTCGTGCTCTGCGGTGCCAGTGCGGCTCTCCGGGACTTTTTTATGGACGCGTGCTGACACGATGAGCTCAATTCCTTGCCGTGACTTCCAGCTATTAGCCCCGCGGACCGTGCATGTAAGAGAAAAAGACCCAGGAAACAAGACGTGCGGATGGCAGTCCGTTTCGATTCGATTGGGAGAACTGTGACAGCTGAGAAACATGCGTGATGTGGTTTGTGCTGCGACGCAACGCTGCAGACAAGACATGCTAATGCACGCACATTGTGCATAAACCTCCAAGCTTCGGCAAGCCACAGCAAACCACCTGTCAAACCGATTGCGAGCAAGGAGCCACAATAGGAGCCACACTCCACAGCAACACAACGATGTGCAAAGCCACAGAGCGCACGGTGCCACCGCTAGTCCCAGCAAGGTCCAGGTGGGTGGGTGCGCTGCATGCAACCAACGCGGGGGGTGTGTGGACGCCATACCTAAAAAGCCGCCTCGACTCATGCGCCTCAAGAAAATAACTTGGAAGCCATCTCCTTGGCACGGCTTCATTGCCAGAACTAACTCCTTCTCCTAAATTTCTCCCCTAGGAGACCAGGAGAGGGGAGGGAAGCCCGGATCTAGGAGATATAGATTATCCGTTCATTTTAGCATCCTGCACGGCCCCTGATTGGGTTAATTGGCTCTTGTTTTCCACACTCAGTGCCGTGATTGGCCCGTGAGCCTCCTGTTTTGATGCCGCAGTGTCCTCTTATGAGTGGCCCTAGCGTCTGGGCACCTCCTTGCCAAAAAGCCTCCTATCGCCTGCGCTGTCACCGGGGGGGGCTTCAAACGAATCCACCGCATCTCGCCCGCTCAGGCGCAACCGTTTCGCTCACCGGGCTTACACCAAAGCCGCATCACCGAGCCTCCCCTCTCGGCCTTTCGCGGGTCTTGTCCAAGGGGTTTCTTCGCCTTCTGCATCCCTTTCCGCGATTACAGCTTTTCTGCCCCCTGTCAAACGCCATTGCTTTTCTGCTACCGGTGCTTCTGCTTCCTCCCTATCGACGATTCAGGACCCACTGCCGCCGCTTTCTTGGTTGACGCGTCAGTGGGTGGAAATCTGGTTTAGGGAACGTGGTCCCTGCCGCTCTTTATTAATTCCATCTCCAAATCATCCACTCCTTGACCCGTACGACTCTAACTCCTGGAACGGCCGGAATTCGCTGCTTTGCGCAATCGACGCCGACTATCTCTTTCGTCCGGTCCATCCGTTATTTCTAGCCTTGCTACGCTCCCTCACCTCGCCTCACCTCGCCTCAACTCGCTCCGACTGAATTCTTCTTCGCTTCCTGATCGTCCTGTCGTCATCTCCCCCGTCCAAGTCTACCATCTTCTCTCGCCAGCCGCAGCCGCCGCCCCGACGCTGGCGCCTCTATAGCGGCGTATTTGATGTCCCACCGACCTCTTTCGCTCTCTATCACAACACCCGCCGTTAAGGCAGGTCCGTCCTCATCATGGATCTGATCCGGCGGGCCACCAAGGCCGGCTCCAACAATCCGCCCCTTGCGCTACCTACCGACGAGAAGAGGGGGAGGAAGAATGACTCTCGTTTAGCATTTTTTCGAAGGCCCTTGCGATTACGGGGGAATTCGACCATTTCTGTACCACTGGGGATTGTTATCTTCTTCCCCATGCTGGTGCTCATCTTGATCCTCATTCTCTTCATCAGCCATCCCAGTTCGCCAGCGAGATTCTTGATACCTGGGGGGGCTGCCCCAAGTATGCGGTAGGTCCCTTTCTCAACCCTCGCAACTCATCCACGCTTCTCAGGTTCACTGACATGTATGCGACGACAGAAAAATTAGCGAAAAGTACGACAAAGTTTTCGTCGAAGGTTGTGTCGAACCCGATACGTCCAAACCTCGTGCCAATGCCGCCTTCGTCATCCTCGCCCGAAACAAGGAAATCGACGGTGTTATACAGTCGATCAAGTCAGTGGAACGCCACTTCAACCGCTGGTACCACTACCCCTACGTCTTCCTCAACGACGGCGACTTTGACGACAACTTCAAAGAGATCGTACGGAACCACACGTCCGGCGAGGTTGAGTTTGGCAAGGTTGGACCCGACATGTGGGGA